GTGGAAAGAGCCAGTCAGATGGTACTTATGCTGATGGACGTGTTTTAGGGTCAGGTGGCTCCAGTTGTTGAGGAGATGCAGGGCCTCTGCATTGCTGAAGAAAACCTGCATCTTATACAAAGTCAACAATTATCTGGAGTTTTTTCAGGGTCATTTCAAGTCCCTGCTAACAACACTGCCCATTTCTCAGGAGAGATGCCTCCTTTGTGGAAACATTCCACATTTTTGTTGTTTAAGCTGTATCCTCACTTTGACTTTTATCTTTAACATAAATGCATCTATCTATTTGTCTACCATGGGTTTTCACACTACCCAGTACTTAGTATACAAGTGCAAATCTAAGCAGTCATGGTATGTTTTGGGAGATAGGGGGTTAATTTATTTTTTCTTTTAAAATTACTGTTTTAGATGTTCACTGTGGAAACTTTTTTTTTTTAATGGTTGGACCAGAATCTGTAACTGTTCTTCTCTAATGCAGGCCTCACCACACTAGTTCACACCTCTGTAACCTCAAGGCCCAGTCTATTGCAGCTCACTGTACTTGGTGCAATACTTGAAGGCCATCCCAAAACTGTAGCTGGTGTGAAACACAGCCTCTCATCTCTTGAATGTGGCGAGCTGCTCTGAGCACTTGAAACCTCGGTGCTCCGTGCTCTGAAATGGCTCCCAGTGAAGCAAGAATTTCCTCTCATTCTGTGTCCTGGTACAGAGAATTAGATTATCTGGAGCTGGTGAGGATGCATGAACTATTCCTTTAAAATTACTTCTGAACACCATGCAGCACTGGAACTGCCATGAAAAGGATTTCTAGTGAGGCAGAAAAGAGAGCATCTAAACGGAGGAAGCTGCCTGGTCCCAAGGCAGAAGTGACAAGTGACAAATCTGTGGCCGCTGGGCAGTAAATGAACAAATAATCAGGTGGGGAAAACATGAAATAGAGAAAGGAGGTTGGTAGAAGGGAGAGTGAGACTTGAAACTGGGGTTATACAGGGCAAGGCGACAGGGAGCTGAGGAGAATGAGTTGAACTAAGAGCCATTAGTGGAGGCTGACATTGGACAATGAGCAGTGTATGGGAGCCTTGGTCTGGCTGGACAAGAAGACTGGGACCGAGAACCAGCAGTCTCGGGGGGGTGGAGGAGGGAGGGGAGAGAGCTCTGATGAAAGTGTTGGGGTTAGTGGAGTTCAGCAAAAGAAGGAAGGAGCTGGACTGGAGAAGGACCTCAGAAGGAAGCTAGTGAAACATGCTGGGCAAGGGGACTTCAGTGCAAAAGAGGACTGGTATTTGAAGGGATACTGGATGGAGACAGGAAAGGGGTACTAGAATTACCGGGGACTGTGATAAGGAGTAAGGCATGGCGAGAGGAGGGATGGGGACAGACTGCAAAGGAATGGCTCAGAGGAGTCCAGCTTTGGGGAAAATGAGGTGATCTGTGCCCCTTCGTGCACACTCCCCTCCACTGCCCTTATTCCTTCCAGACTAGCAACCAAAGTGTCACTGGGCCACAGAGAGGACAGTATTGTACTTCTGTTTTTTATTAACTCAACAGCAAAGGTATGTTAGATCCTGCCATGCTGATAAGTCATGTGGGTATCGGAATGATACCACCTAATGCAGTTCTGCTTGGTTTGGATAGCTTTTTAAAAGTAAAAACAACAAAATTGCATAAAGCAAAGCCACATGAAAGGTGCTCTAGTAGGGTTGCAATGTAAGGCACTGCAAAGCTAGAAAATGCCAACTGTGCAACCTTCATTTGCTGCTTCCCTACACCCCATCTGCACATGCTGTCTTTAATTGTAAGAGCACATGCTATTTTTAACACAGGGGCTCCCCTTCAGCCAATGTGGAGGGTGGCTCTGCTTTGGGAATGAATCAGGGCTGTGCAGTGAGGGATACTTGTCTGTTTTACCTGTGCTTCGTCTGCTGCAGAAACCAGGTGTGGACTAAGTGAGGCGGGGGACTTCAGGGAGAAAAGGGCAGGTTGCAGGACTGAGGCAAGAAAATGCCACTGGAACGTAGGATTCTCTCACAGGGTGTTCCCACGTGGTGGTGGGCAAGTCACTTAAGACAAACTTTCTAGAAGTGATTCTGCATCCTTCATTTTCTAGGTGGTGGACTGGAAAACCTGGTGTCTGTTTTGAAGAAGTGCTGAGCACTTACACCTGAGAGTCAAATCAGCTAGAGTTGCACTTCAGGCATCCATGGCTTCTCCTTAGTGCTTAAGGAGCAAGGCTGGGGACCAACGCCCAGAAATAAGCCCAAGCTACGTGTACCTGCTCTGTACATACCTAAGCCTGCAAATTAGACAATGCAGGCAGCTTGGGGATAGCCCTGATCAATCTGGAGCAGTCAGAAAGCCTGGGGCCTGCACTCAAGGCTGTTTCTGAACCATCTGTCCTTCCCAATGTGCAGTCTCTGGTGTGCATCGCTCAGGACAAGTGGGTAGTGCTTAGTGCCTGTTTTGCACCTCAGTGTCTCTGTACCTTAGTTCCCCATTTGTAAAATGAGGGACGAATGTATGGACTTAACATTTGTCCATCATCTCACAAGTGTGTTGTAAAAATAAGTTAATTTAATACGTGTAAAACACCAGCTACTGTAGTGATGGGCACCATAGGAAAGCCCATGAGACAGTTCGTAGTTCTGTCTGGAGAGTAGGATTAAATACTTTTTGGTAAATAATGCAGGGGGCCACCCATTAAACTCCAAAGCCCCTGGCAGACGTGCAAGTAAAGGCACTATGGGATTCCCACAGTCGCTTTTCCTGCCATGCCACATGTGCATGTCAGGAGGCATGGTTGTAGGATTGTGCTTCAAATCCCATCACACCTTATTGCCAGGGCAGGGGGAGCCCGGGATCACAATGTCAGCTGAGAGGTGTCCCAGCCATGGGGGTGGGAGCCTAGATCAGCTGACAGTGGCTAGGAGCCTAGATCAGCTGACAGCTCCCAGATCAGGGGCTGGGGATCCCAGCTGCAGGGTCATACCCCTGGTCTGCCCACGAATCCAATTACTGGAGTGATAGGAACCAGCCACAAAGTTATTACACATTCTTTGTGTAATAACTTTGTGGTTTACTTCTTGTTTTATCATGCCATTAATTGCATTAATGTGTGGCTGGGTTACAGCTTAAGATGTGATTAACTGATTAATCACATCTTAAGTGAAAAGTATGCCAGGGGCCTAAGGAAAAAACAACATAGCTGCTCATGAAGTGTGTCCTGAATGACGCTGGGGTGCTGCAGAACAAATCATCTGTGATCATGTAATTAAAGTCTGTATCATAATGCATGTGCACAGAGGGGGCAATGTAAGGCTTCCCAGGTACCTTCTGAGTGCTGGACTTGGCATTCTTAATAATACCCTTTTTAAGGGAAGTTTTGTGCATTATTCTAATTTAGTTTCTTGTTCTTTACTTTTATCAAGTAATGGGGGCAGCAAAAGGTAGTCTGGGTGCAGGGCTGACCTGTTTGGCTAAGCCCCTGAACTGTGACAGTGCAGATAAACCATTCTTAGCAACAATTTGCATTTTACCCAGGAAGGAGTTTAAGAAAGTGCCACATAAGTACAGCTGGTTCCTCCCATTATTTCTTTCCCACGCATACACGTATTCTGGAAGAAGGAGAAACATGGCACTAAAGCTTCACTGCTGAGTTGTTATAGGAAAGGTGAAGCCAGATGCTAATCCCCTGGTTTTCAATGTTCAATACAGACCAGTTAAAAAAATGCAGAGAAATACTTGGAGCCACATACAGGGGGACAGGATTCATGGCTGCAGATTCTCTGCAGGGTAAAACCCCATATGCTCCAAGTTCCTGCTCCTGGTACTGCTTTGACATCACTTTCACTGTTGCTAAAAATTTCCACCCTCCCCTCCTAACCCTACATCCCAATTGAGGACCATCTGATCATGTTCAAGGGCAGCCTGAGAGACTCAGATTAAATGCTTGAAAAGCACTTTGAGATCCTTGGATGACTGAAATAAGTTGCAGTGAGACTTTGTCTGATGTGGGCTAGGGAGTATTTTGGTCTGAAAACAGAGCATCTTTAATGGTAATGGGCACTGGAGAGGTCTGGTGCCTGACAGGAAGGAGTAAGTGACAATTAAAATTGCCATGAGAATATGACTGCCATGACTTAGTTTCTTTTTCCTCCCCAAGAAATCATTGTTCTGTATAATTTCATTAATCTTATCTCCAGTGAAATGCAGGAAAAAACAAGCTTTCAAATAACTTGGTGTGAAATGCCAGGTGTCTCTTCAATGCTACATTGTCAAACTGTTCTTTCCTGTTTTAAGAAAGCCAAAGTTGTAAGTTGTTTTTTTTTATTTCATTTTTTTTATTTGAAAAACTTTTTTTGTCACAACCCACTCTATTTTTTTCATGCCTGGATGTTTAAGTATTTGTGATGGTTTCTGTTCTGAAGGTTATATCTTATGTGCAGCTGATCAAATGGTACCTCACTTAGACCTATGCAGCTCCACCGGTTCCTTTAACTTTATCAGTGGTTGCCTGTATGCAACTGAGAATAAGTTAAACTTGATATATATTTATTTAATTTTGTAACCTGAAGGAAATGTAACCAATTGACCCTGATTGCTGAAGAGCTAAATGTCTGGTTTTATTTATGGTAGCAAATGAAGTGTTGCAATCTTTTTTGAATCCAGTCAGAAATAGATAATATGGAGAAGGAACCATAAAACTACCTAGACCATTAACAGGAACAGGTCAGAGAATTTGCTAATTCTTTGGATTAGCAATATGGATACTGGAACTATACTTTTCTTGTTTATTGTGGGTCTGATTGTGAGTTCCTTATTCTGCCAAATCTCTGACTGAAGTCACTGGAGGTTGTTTTTGACCAAGGGTCTCTTTATATCCAGTTTTGGGGCCCTGCAATGTAAATAATTATAAAAGTGCATTTCTTACTTGCTGATTTCCATCCTAGTCATTTCTTATCACGTGACGAAAATAATTCTTCTGCCTCCTATTTCCTCTGCAGACCACTGATGAATTGGGGAATGAGAAATTCTGTGTTGATGCTAACCAGACCGGAACTGGAAACTGGCTGAAGTACATCCGAGTGGCCTGTTCCTGTGATGAACAAAATCTAGCTGTGTGTCACATTAATGACCAGGTATGCTTCTGTTCCATTAAGCCATCATGATGTGTTAAGTTTTATGGCTTTGGCAATTATCAGGTTGCTATGTTCACCTAATCACTTTAACAAATATAGGTTAGTTTTACATTTAGGGGAAAAGCAAAATATTACAGTGTGAAAACCTGGGTGATATATTTACTAGGTTCAGTTAAGATAAGAGCCCTAATGTTTGCTTGCTTCCCTGAGCCTCTCTGGTCTGGGAATTAAACTTGAAATGAAGAGGAATCTCAGGCTTTCTTATGAGATCGCTGGTGTTTCCTGAGTTACAGAAGCAGCCTTTCTCATGCTAATTCCCCAGCATTCTCTTTGCATGTTAAGCTAATACATGGCTTACATACGACATAAGTAAGCTAATTCTCTCTGTGTGTATGCTTTATCTTGAAGACACCTCACTGATAGAAGGGACTCATAAGAACATTAAGTTACAAGACTGTGGAAGCTGCATTTGATTCACAACCCTTGTGACACTTGCATTTCATATTTGCAGTAATTTTCTTCTTCAAGAAGCAAATTAATAAATAGCAGGCTATAAAATACCATCTTCCCTCAATGACTAGAAGGGTACTATGAAATCACTGCAGTCTGTATATCTGGGCAAGGTAGCACTTTGCCTAGTATAAATAGTACATTTTTTAAAAAGGTATTGTTTAGATGGCTGAGTTGGTTGGAAATAGGTGATTAATTCATGTCTACAGGTGGACTTTCCCTGATTGCTTTTTCCAAATTACCTGACAGGTAGATCAAAGAGATGAACTTCTGTATAAATAAGGTATGCCACTTGTGACTGAAACTCATTCTACTTTGGTCTGGAGGTGGAAGACTGTTTTACAGATGCACCAATATACATTGGTCCATATTGCATTGGCACTGATAAAAGGAAAACTGACATTATTGACAATTGGCATTTTTTGGCTGATTTGGCCGATAATGTCATTGATAAATGCTTGTGTATGTGCACAGCCACAGCATGCACTTGGCCAGCCCAGCAACTTGGAAGGCAGAATCCAGCTGGTAAGTCTGTTGTGGGGGGAAAGGGCAGAGGGAGGGAAGGGGCATGGTGGGAGAGGCGGATCAAGGGCCCTGTTGTGAGGGAGGGTATGGAGCTCGAGCAGGGGCAGGCAATGCCCAGCCCAGCCCAGCCAGGGCAGGACACAAGACAGAGCTGCAAACGGGTCATCTGGGGGGGTAGTAGTGGGGCACCTCCCACTGCTGCGCACACCCCTGGGGAAGATATGGGGGCACGTGCCCTTCAGATCTGTGTGCGGGGCAAAGGCAGGCTGCCACAGCAGGCTGGGGCCAGGGGCAGTGCCGGGCTCTTCCCAGCAGGTAGGGGGCTGGGGCTGGCAGTGGTACTGGGAGGGGGGGCCCTTTGTAGCCCCCCACCTCCCAGTGCTGCCACTGCCAACCCCAAGCACAGCCCCAGCCGAAACCCCCCACCAGGAAGAGCCCAGCACTGCCCTTGGCTCCAGGCCACAGCAGCAGCACCCTCTTGCCCTGAACACATCCAGGGTGCACATGCCCCCCTATGCCTCCCCCAGGGGTGTGCACAGAGGTGGGAGCTGCCCCCTCCCTCCTACACCCCCTGGATGAGTCACTCATGGTTTTATCCCATGGCCCACCCCAATTTGGCAGCACCTGCCCCTGCCCCAGCCCCTCTCCACCCTCATCACATGCCCCCACATGCCCCATCCCTTCCCCTTTCTCTTCCCCCTCCAACAGACTTACCAGCCAGACGCTGCTCTCCAAGCTGCCAGGATGCATATCAGGAATCAGATTGGCGTTGGCCAATATGGCTCATTAAAAATTGGCCATCGGTATCAGACCAAAAAATCTTTATCGGTGCACCCCTACTATATTTCCTTAAGGCATGTATCTATGAAGGATAATGTTCAGTATCTGATGCTGTTGAATAAAGACACAGAGAACGTCATACCCATCTTTCCACAACTTCCCGTATCTTGTGCTAAGTGTGTGTGTGGGGGGGGAGTGGAAATCTTTGCTTTCATTTTGATTGTTACAAAAATTGCTGCAGGCCACACAGCTGCTCAGAACACTTATTCCTGGGGTGAGAGATGCACAAGATTTACACTGTTAATTTACATCTGAGGCTGTTAACTTACTAAGGAAAATGGCTTGAAATCAGCGGACAGCAGAATTCCCAGGGAGCTGAGACGATGTTTCACCTAATTTGCAGTGTAGATTTAATCGAGTGACTACACTATTTAAAAATCTTAATTTATGAAAACAAGATTTCTCATTTTTTATATATATA